GCAGCTGACGCAGCAATAGAAGAACTGATAGGAACTGAGAATCATCAGTCTGCAGCAACTTTTCAGTGTGAAGCCAAATCCGCTGGCAGTTTCCAGGGCCTAGGAATATGTGGTAAATTTGTCATTGAGTGCTTCTAAATGAGCATGTGGGGTGTCTTCTGCTGGATTAAATGTGATATCAATTGGTGAGATTGCTTAGTGATTGAGGGCACTTGCTGTTCTTGCAGAGGACCCAGGTTCAGTTCCCAGAATCCATAGAGATTTCACCATATGTAACTCTAGTTCCAGGGAACCTGACAACAACTTCTGCACCAGGCATGCATATGGTTCACATACATACAAGTAAACACTCATACACATAAGAAAATGTTATTAGCAAATACATATTTATGAAGCATAGTGTTTTGCTTCATGCGTTGCATAATAATTAAATCAAGCTAGTTAACATGCTTTTCAGATTTTTTTCATGTGTATGATAAGAAATTTAAAATCTATCCTTTTAGCAATTACAGTTTTTAAAAAGTTTTCTTTCAGCCGGGAGGTGTTGGCGCACGTCTTCAATCCCAGGACTCTGGAGGCAGAGGCAGGGGATCTCTGTGAGTTTGAGGCCAGCCTGGTCTACAAAGTAAGTTCCAGGACAGCCAAGACTGTTGTACAGAGAAATCCTGTCTCGAAAACAAACAAACAAACAAAAAAGTTTCTTTAATTAGTTCATTGCCCAAGATTGTAGAGCTTTAAAAAAAAAAAAAAAACCACGTATTTATTTTCTCTGTTCCAGTCTTTCACATCTGAATACTTTAAAATTTGCAGTAGTAGCCGGCGGGGTATTGGGGAGCTGTACGCCTTTAGTCCCAGCACTCAGAGGCAGAGGCAGGCAGATCTCTAAGTTTGAGGCCAGCCTGGTCTACAGAGTGAGTTCCAGGACAGTCAGGAACCCTTCTCTCTCAGGAAAAAAAAAAAAAAAAGAAAGAAAGAAAAAAGAAAAAGAAAAAAAGAAAGAAAACAACAACAAAAAATTCACATTGTTTTTCACATTTGAATTTTTTTTTAAAAAAAAATAAGAATTGTTTTATTTTCTGTGTATGAGATTTTTGCCTGCCTGTGTACATGACAACACATGTTGCCTGGTGCTTTCAGGGGTCATAAGACACCAGCAGGACCCTTGAAACTGGAGTTACAGTTAGAAGACACAGTGTGGGTTCCGGGAACCAAACCTGGGTCCTCTCCAAGAGCAACCAGCGCTCTTAACGCTTGAGCCACCTCTCCAGCACCCCACATTTGAATTTGCAATCCTCTTAGCATCCGTCTCCGCATCCCATATTGAGAAATGATACACTTTTATTTTTCTCTTTGTTATTTGCCACTGTCTTAGCTCCTTTCCTGTCCCCTGACTGCTCTAACAGAAGTGACTTAATTGGGGGAAAGGTTCAGTTCTGCTCAGTCTCCCAAGGTCCATACTTGGGATCTGTCCACTGGGGAAATCGTGGCCGTGGGAGCTTAGGGTAGCGGTAACATTGCTTCTGCAGTAAAGAAGAGATCAGCGAGGAGTCCAGACTGCAACTCGCTTCTCTTTCCCCACGGACACAGTCTGGGTTCCCAGAGAAGGGCGCCTTGTTTCCTCTGAGCATGTGACACTTTGAGAACCTTTTTTTTTTTTTTTAAAAAAAAAATAAGGTCTTAGTTACTTTATACAGGGCATTCTTTGCCCCAACTCTTTTGCTAACCCAGATTTTTCTAGAGTCTGACACTGGCGTGACTTAGGATTTCAGGGTGGCCTCTGATGTTTCACTGCTGCTCCTCGGGTTTTTGTTTTGTTTTGTTCCCATACCGGATTTCTCACTCTTTGACATGTGATAATCAATTCAGCCTGAACCTGTAAAATTAAAAGAACTTATTTGAGTCGTATAAGTATCAATCCAAGAAGCATAGGTCCAGGAGCCTTTGGATCCATGTTCTAGAGAAGACGGGGAAAGTAGGGATCTGTATGGGCAAGCAGCACTGACTGTTGAATGCTGGGTAAGAACAGGATCCATGTAACCAATAGAAGACAAAGAATAAGAATCTGCATACTAGTAACATGTCCATAAAACCGAGTTTCTTGCCTGAAAAGCCACTGACTCTTTGATATCTACCCCAAATGGCAATTCTTCCATTCTTTCTTAAGAAATTAATCGTGGTCTTCTGTGTTCACTGATATCTTTCTTTTCTGTTTCTTTTCTCTCCTCCTCTTTTTTTTTTTTTTGAGACAGTGTTCTCTGTGTAGCCCTGGCTATCCTGGAGCTTACTCTGTAGACCAGGCTGGCCTTGAACTCAGAGATCCACCTGCCTCTGCCTCCTAAGTGCTGGAATTAAAGGTGTGTGCCACCACAGCTCGGCTGATATGTTTCTATGACATTTACCCCACCCCATCTTTATTTAAAAAAGAAAACAAATTATCTCCCTTCATTACACACACCAATCCAAATTCCCACTCCCTCCCTTCCTCTCACTCCATCCACATACCTCCCACCTTACCCCATCCATCCTCAGAGAGGTTAAGGCACATTGCTTTGGGGAAGGTCCATGGCCCTCTCTACTATATCTGGGTTGATCAAGGTATCCATCCAAAGAGAGTAGGTTCCCAAAAAGCCAGTACATGCAGTAGGGCCAGTGGTCCCGCAATCTGCCCCAGCCATACAACTGTCACCCATATTCAGAGGGACTAGTTTGATCCTATGCTTGTTCCTTCCCAGTTTAGCTGAAGTTGGTGAGCTCCCATCAGCTCAGGTAGACTGTTTCAGTGGATGAACCCATCGTGATCTTGACCTCTTTGCTCATATTCTCATTCCTTCCACTCTTCAACTGGACTTTGGGAGCTCAGTCCAGTGCTCCGATGTGGGTCTCTGCCTCTGTTTCCATCAGTTGCTGGATGAAGGTTCTATGTTGACATTTAAGATATTCATCAGTCTGACTACAGGGCAAATTAAGATTGGGCTCCCTCTCCTCTATTGCTTAGGGTCTTAGCTGGGGTCATCCTTGTGAATTCCTATATCTAGAGCCATGTTTCTTGTTAACCCCATAATGGCTACCTCAATCAGGCTATCTCTTTCCTTGCTCTCATCTCTGTCCTTCCTCTATCTCGACTATCCCATTCCCTCAAGTTCTCCTCACCCCTCCCCTTCTCCCCTAGCCTTCCCCTTCTCCCCTCCCTTCTCCATCCACCCCATGCTCCCAATTTTGTCAGGCGATCTTGTCTATTTCGACTTTCCAGGTGGATCTATATATGTTTTTCTTAGAGTTCACTTTATTACTTAGCTTCTCTAGAATCATGAATTATAGGCTCAATGTCCTTTGTTTGTAGCTAGTATTCGCTTATGAGTGAGTACATACCATATTCATCTTTTTGGGTCTGGATTATCTCAAAAAGATGCTCAATCATACTACAAGGGCATTTGTTCAACTATGTTCATAGCAGCATTATTTGTAATAGCCAGAATCTAGAAGCAACCTAGATGGCCCACAACTGAAGAATGGATAAAGAAAATGTGGCACATTTACACATTAGAGTACTATTCAGCAGTAAAAAATAACCACACCTTGAATTTTGCATATAAATGGTTGGAATTAGAAAACTATCCTGAGTGAGTTACCTCATTTTTTAAAAATTATATTTGTAAGCACTCAGGAGGCAGAAGTGGGCAGCTTGATCGACAGAGCGAGTTCCAGGACAGCCAGGTTTCTCAGAGAAACCCTGTCTCGAAAAACAAAACAAAATGAAAATTATATATTGTGTGTGTGTGTACATGTGTGCGTATGACATGGGGCCAGGGGCATATGGAAGTAGAGGACAACCTGAAAGAGTCTTTTCATGTACCATACTGGTCATAGGGATTGAACATAGGTTGCCAAGGCTTGGCCACAGGTATCTTTAGCCACTGAGTCATTTTGCTGGCTCCCACATGGCATCTTACCTGTTTGGTTGGCTATTTTCCTTATGAATGCAAGTCTCTAGAGTACAGGACTCATACACACAATAATCTAGGACTAATTTATATGTGTGTACATCCATGTACAAATGCCCATGGCACGCATGTGGAGGTGAAGACGACTTGTGGAAATTGCTTTTCTTCTTTTACACTATGGGCTCCAGAGACGGAACTCAGGTCATTAGGCTTGGTGTCAAACACCTGTGCCTACAGGGCAATCTTGCTGGTCCCTTAGTATACTTAATAAATTATTCACACGTAATTCGATGAGATGGTAACTAATAATATGGTTACAGATGACAACCGTGTTGATACCTGATATAAAATGTGTCAATATCCCATAGATAAGGTGAGAAGTGTTCTCCATAAAACCCCCAATCTAGAGCATAAACCTGACTTTGTTTCTTTTTGTGTGTTTCTCTAGATTTCCAAGCAACACGAACACTTCCAGAAACATGAACTTACAGGTCAGAATGATTCTCTCCCTTACTGATCAGCTCAAGGCTGGTGACTGATCAACCGTGGGCCATGCTTTCAAACTCTAGTCTTGAACAGCGGGTGGAAGAAAGTGGAAAAAGAGGGTGTTCCTGGAGAGTACCCCCATCTTTCTGACATCTTCACTTCCAAAGTCATGCAGACAGCTCCATAATTCCTACATTGTTTGCTTTCCTCGTGCTTCTCTGTCCCATACATTTTCATGGAAAGCCCAAAATATGGGGAAGGAGAATGGGCAAAAATTAACTACCAAGAGTTTGGTGAGGGAGGTCCATCTCCTTATTCCGCTACCACGGATTTGGATGTGGGGTAGACATCTTTAAAGGAAAAGATATATTGGGAACCTCTGTGTCCCTCACTACTGCATTCCGGGGTCACTTCTAGTACATGATGAAGACAGTATAGTTTGCTTGCAAAACAAAACTTGATAGCTGGGCCGTACCACTCATCAGTTTCACGATGTGACTTCATCTTTGCTCCCCTAATTGTTAGATGATGTCAGTAGTCACTATGCTCACGGTCTCTTTACTCCTGTTACAGTTTCACAGCTGAAAAACGCTGGAATGATGAATATCATTGAAGCTGATCTAACATGGTAAGCAGAGTCTGTCTTCAGACTGTCCTATGACAAATACCATGATGGCTGGTTTCATGTCAACATGATCCAAACTGGCATCATTTTGGAAGAGATTGCCCTCTCTAGATTGCCCTGTGGACAAGCCTGTGCTGCTTTTTTAATTTTTTTTTTTTTTTGGTTTTTCGAGACAGGGCTTCTCTGTGTAGTCCTGGCTGTCCTAAAACTCACTCTGTAGACCAGACAGGCCTTGAACTCAGAGATCTACCTGCCTCTGCCTCCAAAGTGCTGGGATTACAGGTGTGTGCCACCACTGCCCAGCTACATTTTCTTAATTGATGATTGATATAGGAAGGTCCAGCTCACTGTGGGTGATGCCACCCATGGACTGGTGGTCTCAAGTAGAACAAGAAGGCAGGGTGAGCAAGCCATGAAAGCAATCCAGTAAGCAGGGTTCCTCCACGGCCTTTGCATCAGCTGCTGCCTCCTGGGTCCATCTTGCCCTGAGGTCCTACCATGACTTCTGTCAGCAATGGAGTGTAACCTGAGAACTGTAAGCTGAAACAAACCCTGTCCCCCTAAGTTTGTGGTCATCGTGTTTCAATACAACAATGGAAATCCTAGCTGCAACACCATCTTAACCGTAGATGCTGTATGTAAAATCCTGGGACTTTTACTTCATTTACTGTGACAGCAATTGCCTCCTTCCTAAATTAACTTCTTATTCTTATTGGCTGGCTTACTGGTACTTTAATATCACTTCACTTCTACTGACATCCCCTTTTGTGTTCAGTATTTCAGGAGACTCTACTGGCTGGAGCCAGGAATATTTATTCAGATCCTAAACGGGAGTCTTCAAAAGATCTTCCAACATTTGGAAAATGCAAGGTCAGGAAACAGAGTTTCTGGGTAGGGGAGAGAGAGAGGGAGTAAAAGGAGGGAGGTAAAAGAAAAGTGAGTTTGAGCAATGGAGAATATTATTTTAAGCTTTATTTATTCCATGTTTTATATGGGTATTTTACTTGCATGTGTGTTTGTGCACCACATTCATGACTGATGCCCACAGAGGCCAGAAGAGGGCATTGGATCCCCTGGCACTGGAGTTACAAATGTTTGTAGACTACCATGTGGGTGTTGGTAAGCAAACTTGGGTCCTCTGGAAGAGCAGACACTACTCTTAACTGCTGAGCCATATCTCTAGGCCTCAAAGTAATGTGTGTGTGTGTGTGTGTGTGTGTGTGTGTGTGTACGTACACATCACATTTATTTAGGTATTTATTATTTTTGTGCATGTGTGCACATGTGTACCACATCATGTACATGGTGGTCAGAGGAGAAGCCACAGGAGTCAGTTCTTTCCTTCTAAGATGTGGGTCTTAGGGATCGAACACAGGTCTTCTGGCTTAATGGCAAGCACAGGTTGTGCGTGTGTGCATGTGTGTGTGTGCATGTATATGTCTGCAAAACTTGGGTGTCATTTTGGGGAGCCATGCAGCTGGATTTTTGAGATAATTTGCCTAAGCTGTCCAGTGAGCCCCAGGGGATCCACATTTCTCTGCTTCCCCAGCACTGGGGTACTGTGTCCCTTTCTTTTCATTTGGGTCCTGGGGATGGAACTCAGCTTCTCTCTTTGTACAGCATGTCCTTTCTTCACTGACTCACACATCTTGCTCTTGGTGGAGGGATTCTTTACATAAATAACTGATGTTTGTGAATGCAAACCCTCCTTTCATCTCTCCCTTAGACCAAAAATGTTTTGAACTTGAAACAACCACTCTCTCTCTTCTTACTAATTTTATGCCTACTGGTCCCAAAGAAAATGATAACATTTCTTTCTATCAGGTCAACACTTATGAAAAGCTTAAAAGAGTCCCAAGATTTGTCTTCCTCCGGCTCTGACATTGTGGGTACAATGGGAAACCGTTCTTCTGACTCCAGCATGTCTTCTGTATCATACAGTGACAGCTCGAACCCATCCCTTCCAGTCTTTCTTGGAGGAGCAACGTGGCAATTCCGGAGCCATAGCTTCCCTGCTTTCTCCCGAAAGGAACCGCCTGCTCCCAGGAGCCAGGGCTCATCCCTGCCTACTTAAGAAATCTGTTTTGAATGAGAGCCCAGGCCCCCTAGTATGGGGTCCACTCCAGCTCTCTCCTTTAGTCAGAGGAGAACTGGAAGGACATATGTCACATAAGGTTTCTACTTTGCGGGCACAAGCGGTGCATCTGCCTGTGAAGAAATCCTGGGAAATATGTAACGAATTGATGAATGTACAAGGAGTCCCTGAACAAGGGCTTCCCAAAACTCAGTTACCTACACTCCTCCCTCAGAGGGCTGAGCAAAATACCAACCGATCTCCAGATGCTCCATCGTTTCATGTCCATGTAAACATTGGAGTGAATTCTGAATTAAGCAGGACGGAAGTGTCACAGCCGCTGACCTCAAACAAGCAGTTACAGTCTGCGAATGACCACCAGGTTCTTAGCTACAACCCTGTAGTGATATCAATGGGCACTCCAGCTCCCATTAACATAGTTCAGCTTTACTGAAAAAGGATCCAAGGCATGTGTTAGAGCTGAATATAGATCAGAGGGTCCTCGGTCTTCCAGAACAAAGGATACAGCCACAAAGGGCACAAGGAACTGACGTGGAACTGACAGCCCAGGTACCACGCTCAGCCACGGACAGCATAAAGGTCACTCCAGTGGCATTGCTTCAGATTATGGGCTTGATGGGAATGATCCCAGAATCACACACGCAGGTAGATAGACTGTGTGGGGTTTCCCCCGCAGCCACCAAATCAAGCAGAAACAGTGAATCTAACTCCTCAGCCATCAGATCAAGTAAACAGTAAAAATTCTTCAGTATTCAGCTACGGAATCAAAGAGTACGGCCTTAAGACAGAGTCCAGTCACAGATAATATGAAGGTAACTCCTGCAAAATTGCTCCATGTCATGGATTCCATGGGGATGATTAATGAATTACACCCACATGTCATAGAACCAGCAGAAATAGCCCCAAAGCCACAATACCAAGTCATGGAATCGGCAAGGTGGATACATTGCATGGCCACCAAGCCATACTACCAGAAGATAAGAGTCCTATCAGTCTTATCATTCTTACAAAATGAGGAATCTATAAATGTCCTACAGTCGTCTCTAGGAGAGGTAGGTCCTGAAAAGACAAAGCCATAGTCAGGGCCACAAGTCCATCCCCGAAGGAACTGATTGAGGAGACACAGCCCCCGAAAGTGAAATCTGTGCATTTAAATCTAGGCCCACAGCAGCTAAGTATCAAATCTGGGTTGATTCCAGGGCCACAACTGCAAAGTGTCAGATTTCCAAAGTTCTACCAAGGGGGAAAACGAGGAAATGTCATCTCAGGCCCCCCACGTTATGGTGTGAAATCTGATGAGGCACGATCACGTTCCCCAGTACCAGAAATCAGATCATCAGATTGTATCCCGGGGCCAAATCTTCCAGAAGCAAAACTGCAACATGTGAAGCCTGTGGAAGTAAATGTAGGACCATGCTCGCAAGCTGTGAAATTCTCTGATCTGACCCCTGAGCCCAAGCACCAAGGTTTCAGATGTACACAGGTCACACCAGGTATTCACTTTCAAGATAGGAAGTCTCAGGGACTTTTGCCTGAATTATTTTTTTCTAAAATAATTCAAGAAGAAAAATCTGTAGGGTTGCATCTTGAGCCACAGTCACAGCAAGTAAAAACCTCTCCGTTAGCACTAGGGCTTCAGAAAACAAAAACTTTGAACTTAACATCAGAGCCACAACCTCAAGGAATCAAAACTGTGGATCAAAACAAAGATCCACTGGTTGGAAGTGTAAGATCTGTTCAGTGGATACCAGGACCTGAGTTCCACAGCATGAAGTGTTTAGGGTTAAATCATGGGTCACAATCTCAAGGTGTCAAATCTACAGAACAGAAAACGTCCATACAGTTGGGAGGTGTGAAGCCATCAGAGCCACCAAGCCATACTACCAGAAGATAAGAGTCCTATCAGTCTTATCATTCTTACAAAATGAGGAATCTATAAATGTCCTACAGTCATCTCTAGGAGAGGTAGGTCCTGAAAAGACAAAGCCAGAAGTCAGGGCCTCAAACTCCATCCCCGAAGGAACTGATTGAGGAGACACAGCCCCCGAAAGTGAAATCTGTGCATTTTAAATCTAGGCCCACAGCAGCTAAGAATAAATCTGCAGATTTTAACCTTGAGCTACAGCACATAAAAACCCCTGAGGCAGAAAGGAGATTCAGCCTCAGAGGATCAAAACTGTGGATCAAAACCAAGATCCATCAGTTGTAAGTGTTAGATCCGTTCATTGGATACCAGGACCTGAGTTCCACAGCATGAAGTGTTTAGGGTTAAATCGTGGGTCACAATCTCAAGGTGTCAAATCTACAGAACAGAAACCATCCGTAGAATTGGGAGGTGTGAAGCGACCTGAAACGACTGTAAGGCCAAAACTTCAAGGGAATAAATCTGCAGATTTTAACCTTGAGCCAAAAGTACAGCACATAAAAACCCCTGAGGCATCCCCAAAACCAGAGTTACAAGAAGGGGAAAACTCAGAGCCACAGGCTGAGTGTGTAAAAAGTGTGGCATTACACGACGGATCAGAGCCACAGTCTGAGTGTGTAAAAAGTGTGGCATTACACCACGGATCAGAGCCACAGGATGAGTGTGTAAAAAGTGTGGCATTACACCACGGATCAGAGCCACAGGATGAGTGTGTAAAAAGTGTGGCATTACACCATGGATTACAGCTTGAAAATACAAAATCTGTTCAGTGGATCCCAGCATCTGGCTATCAAGCTAAGAAATCTATGCTGAATCTTAGGTTACAATCTGAAGATGTCACAGCTAAAGAGTTAAACCCTTTGGCACAACTAAGGAATGTGAAGACTTCTAATGAGTTGATTACAGGGCTGAAGTTACAAAGTAAACAACCTACAAGGTCAACCCTGGGACAACAGTCTCATGGGTTCAAAACTATTGATTTTAAATCGGAGCACCAGTTTAGAAGTATGAAAGGATGTGACCCAAACTTAAGGTCAAAGATTAACAATATAAAATTCACATTTGAACCCAGGTTTCACTTAGAAGTCACAGGCTGTCCCGGATTGAACCCTGGAATGCAGCCACAAGAAGTGACCTTAGGGTCACCCCCAGGAACACAACCTCAATCTGTGACATCTTTAGTGTTTAAACAAGAGTCACAGGCCTCAGAAGCGAACTATGGGGTATTAAGCCAAAGGGCACAACCACAAAGCAGTATGGAGTTAAAAAGTGCAAAATCTTCTGAGTTGGCACTTCAGACAAAGCCTTGGGATATAAAATCAGAGATCAACTCTGGGCCCCAATGGCAAAGTGCAGAATGTTCTGACTTGACACCTGAAACAGAGTCCCAAAATATGAAATGTATCACGTCAAGTCAAGGTAAGCCATTTGCCAATCAAAGTGTCCAGCTAGACTGTAAACATGGGTCACAGTGGCAAGGTATAAAATCCAATCCAGGTCTGACGACAAAGTCCCAAGATATGGAAATGGAAGACTGTGAATCAGGCCCACAGTTACAAGATCTGAAATCTTCAAGGACAATCATGGGTATAAAGGTCCAAGATGTCATATCTATGGGCTTTACTCCTGGACCACAATTACAAGGTATGCCATCTGAAGTCCTTACAGAGAAGAGGGTTCATGGTGTGAAACTGGTAGAAAGCAAACCTAGTTCAAAGTTACAAGGTAAGAAACCTGATTTCACCCCAAAGAAGATGTTTTTAGGCACAAAATCAGTAGGGCTGGACTCAGTGTCCCCTTTACAAGATTTGAAATATGCTGAGCAGATCTTGGGTATGAAACTTCAAGATGTGAACTCTATGAAACATCACGTTACAAGTATAAAATCTCCCGAGCTGGTAACACAGATAAAATCCCAAGGCATAAAAGCAATGGACTTTAATTCAGGATCACAGCCACAAAATAAAAAGCCGTCTGAGTTGGCTCATGGGAAAAAGCTCCAAAGTATGGAATCTTTGATAGTGGAGTCAAAGTCCCCAAATGGGGAATCTGTGGAGTTAAACTTGGGCCCTCAGTTACAAGATGAGAAATCTAAGTCAGTTCTGGGGATAAAGCAGGAAGATGCAAGATCTACAGAGGTCAGTTCTAGCCCATGCTTGCAGGGTATGAGGTCTTCTGAAGTATTTTCAGAGGACATGCTTCAAGGAGAGAAACCCAAGGGCTTTGTGGCCCAGTCACGGTGGCAGAATGCAAAATCTCTTAGGCAGACTTTCGGCAAGGCACTTGACAGGAAGCTTTTGCAGCTGAAAATCCCTCAGTTCCAGAATGGGAAAGGATCCGTGTTAACCCCAGAATTACATCTTCAAGGTATGGAACCTGAGGCAGTCAAACCTGGATGGAAGTTGAAAGGCAGGCAACCCAAGCCTACAAATGTCCAAGCAGTGAAGGATATGGGGATCAATCATGGTGCAGAATTGCAGGTTGTGGGATTTGCCGAGCAGGACTCGGACTCCACAATTTATAGTGTGGTACCTTCTGAACTCAGTGCCAGAAACCTGAAGCAAGATGGGAAATTTCACAAATTAAGTCAAAAGCAACAGCTTCAAAGTATAAAACCGGTAGTCTTCAGTCATGAGCCACATTCGCAACATATCCAGTCATCAGAAGTATGTACAAAGCTTCCCGATCTGAAATCTATAGAATACAACTCAGAGCAACAGGTGCGAGAGAGAAAAGCTCCTGATGTGTGCACAGAGTCCAAGCTGTCAGATGAATCATCTCTGGAATTTACGTCTCGATTGCAAGGTAGGACATTCTGTGAGTTGAGTCCAGGGCCACAGATTCACTGTAAAAATATCATGACATCCAACACAGGAACACAAAATGTAGAATCGCCTAAGTTGCACCCTGATCTAGACCTTCAAGGCATAAAATCTAAGGAATTCTGCCTTGGATCACATTTGGAAGATGTGAATTCTGCATGTACCCCCGATGCAAATTCTCAGTATACAAATTCCAGTGAATATAAACCTGGGTCATATTTGCAAAATAGAAATTTCTCTGCACACATTCCAGAGCCAGACCCTAGGTGTATAAATTCTGTGTGCAACCCTGGGCCACATTTTAATGGAATGCATTCTGTGTGTATTTTAGGACCAAAATTGCAATGTGTAGATTCTACTGTGTGCAGTCATGACCCAAATTTGCAAGATGTAAATTCTTCTGCACGCACTTCAGTGTCAAGTCCTCCGTGTGTGAATTCTTCCGTATGCACCCCAGGACCAAGTCCTCCATGTGTAAATTCTTCCATATGCACCCCGGAGCCAAGTCCTCCGTGTGTGAATTCTTCTGTATGCACCCCAGAGCCAAGTCCTCCGTGTATGAATTCCACTGAGTGCAATTCTAAAGCACATTTTCAAGGTGTGAATTCTTCTGCATGCATTCCAAGCCAAAACCCTCAGTGTGAACGTTCTAATAGGAATAATCTTGGGCCACTTCTTCAAGGAATGCATTCTGGTACAACATTTCCAGCACCACAAATGATGTGTGTAAATTCTGTTTGGTGCAGTGTCCAAAAACAATTGCAAAATGTGAATTCTTCTGCATGTACTCGAAGACAAGAATCACAGTCTGCAAATTCTATGGGCTACAACCCTGGGCCACATTTAGAAGCTCCTAAACTTCAAGGTATGAAGTTTCCTGAGTTGAACCCAGGGACAGGAATTCAAAGAGAGATGCCTATAACAGTTAACCCAGGACAGCACTTGCAAGATTTAAGGCTTGAATTAACTCCAGGGTCAAATGTTGCAGGTATAGCACCTGCAGAATACAACCCTGGGCCACAGGAACAATGTGTGACTTTTTCTGAATTGAATCCAGGATTAGAATTACAATGCATAAATTTAGCGAAGCTTGGTTCAGGGCCACAGTTGCAAAACATAAAGTCCTTTGCATGGACTACTGGACCAGAATCTCAGTGTACAAGATCTGTTCTATTGAGCCGTGGACCCCCTTTTCAAGGTGTGAAGCCATCTAATTTATCGGTAGGGGAAAAGTTTCAAGAGATCCCATTTTTGAAGAAGCAATTTGGGTCACGGCAGCAAACTGCACAACCCATGTTGACTCCGAAGCCTCAGTCAACTGGTGTGGACTCTGTGGAAGTTTTACCAACACCACTGCCTGAAGATAAAATATTTCCAGAGATGAGCAAACAGCCATTGCTGTTCCTGCCACGAAGTGAAAACTCTGTGGGCTTATCACCAAGTCCATTCCTTCAAAATGTGACATTTGGGAACCAAATTCCCCAAACAAATAATCAAATCACAGAACCCTCTAAGGTGACAGGCAGACCAGCAAACCACCTGGTAGACTATGCAGAGATGAACACGAAGATCAGGTACTAAGCCCCTAAATTGGTGAATTATATTCCGCTGCCCATTTATCAAGAAGATGTGGGATCTTCAGAAATGATGAAAGGGTTGGGACACAAAAGCACAGAAACAACAGAGAAATCTATGAGGTTGACCCCCAAGCCAACGGATACAGTCACAGGATCATTGGGGATGCTGCAGCAGCCAGAGCTTCAAGTGCCAGGATCACCCTAAGTGATCAAGATTCAAATGCCTCAGAACTGACCCCACAGAAAAACTATCAGAGCCTAGAAACCCTGGAGTTGCTTTCTTGTTCGTGGCCTCAAGTGAAAGATTTCAAGCAGTCACAGACCCAACCAGCCACAGGATCTAAGAGCATGACCCTCGACCTCAAGAATCATGCCACAGAAATGACGGGGCTAACTTGTAAGATAAGACAACAAGGGAAAGAATTTCTTAGAGTGTCTTCAACGCCAGTAAACAGAGAGACTGAATGTGTTGAAAAATCTCCACGGCCATATCCTCAAGACTTAGAACCTGTGATGGGGAGCTCCGAGAAAAGATCCCCAAGGGAACAATCTGTAGCCTCGTCACCAAGGCCATTCTATCATGTTCCGGATTCTGCTCCAGGGATAACACCAGGACCTCAGATTCCCAAATCTGTAGGTTTGATCTCTAAGCCATGGCTGCAAAGGGAAAAATCCTTAGAGTTGACCACCCAGCCAACCAATCAAGTTGTGGGAAATACAGCCTCTGTAGAGCTCACGTTTGAGGAATGTCAGACAGAAGAGGTAGGAAGTGGTCTACCAACTCCCCAGAAGGCGAGCATTGAAAAAGCGAACGTCACTCCAATAGAATCACTGGATCAGATTATAAACTTTGTAACGGTCAGCCCAAAGCCACTCAATCAAATCTCTGAGAACCTGCAAAGACATAGCTTCAAGTTCCTCAAGTCTCTAAATCTCTGACAGTGATTCCTGGACCACCACTTCAAGTTATAGAGTCAGTGATGATACCGGAGCCAACCTCTCAAGGGTCAAAATATGTTGATTTGACTCCCAAACTGCACGATATGATAGTTTCAGAGGGCTGTAGAACCAATTGGAGTTGCCACAAGATCAAGAACTCAAGTAAAGGATCCTTTGAATTTGCTCCCAAGACCACATCTTCAAGACAAGATCTTGGTTTTATGTTGCACATTAGAAAAAGACCTCAAGTCTCAAAGGATTGTGGGAGAAACAGTGGACACATCGAAGAACCCTTCCTCATCATCGCACAGGAAAGCTAAAATCTATACTCCAGCTTCCAAGAGTCCAACTTCTACAAGAGATTTCCAGTCCAGATCTTCCCAGTCTCCGGCTTCTGTACCAGTTCACAGGAGGCAAAAGCAATGGGGCAGCTGTGGTGTAGCAAGGAAGACAGAAGCCAAAGACTCTGGGCATTATGAATTCTGTGAGGTTCTCTCGCGTCAGAGAGTGGTTCTGAAAGTAACCGGCATGAAAAATGGGCTAAGTCAAGACTCAGTAAGACCTTAGACTTAAAATATCCAATGAAGAAAATCACCAAGGAACTTAAAAAGCAAAACATAAAGCTCTACAAAAACAGTAGACCCACAGAAGAGTGTCCTTCTGGAACACTGACAGATCCATCAAGAAGCAAGAGTATCAAAACCGCTCAAACCAGCACTGTTTCTTCAAAGAGACAACCGAAGAAATCCTCCCAGCCCGGGTTCATCCAGCTGCTTTCTCAGGGCCTAAAGCAGGTATTCCAAAGAGCACATAGAGTTATGGCTATCACCGGAAAGAAGCCTGAGGACAGGGCTAGTCCAGACAATTTGTGGTCAAGCAAAAACTTGTACCCCGAAGAAAAAGACGAGGATGATTGTTTAACAGGAAGTGGCAGAGGGGCCAGCACACCTGTTATCAAGCAAAAGTTCATGGGTTCCACCCCTAAGAAAGAAGACAGATTGCAGGAAACATGTGACCAAGCTCAACAATCAAAACAAGTGAGCTCTCTCCAACCTAGACCTTTGGAATTGGCCAAGAACATTGTTTCTGAAAGGAATGTCGTTATCCTAGCTACTCCAATCCTACAGCCTTTGAGTAGAGTTCTAAATGTCAACAGCAGAACAAAGAAAAACTATGAATTCTTCAGTCCAGAGTCTAAGAACTGTTCTAAAGTAGGAGCCAAATTTCAGGCCCAAGAGACACTCTTGCCTGACTCCCTTCTGAAGAGAACCATGCAGAGTCACTTCAAACACAAGCAAGAACAACACAGGACCTATCACAGCCTGTCTGAGAGATCTCATCGGAGATGCCACAGTCCTCAGAGAAAGCCTAGGAGTCCCTCTGACAGAACCCTTAGAAGCCTCTCAGTGAGGGGATGTCGCAGTCCCTCCCAGAGGAAGGATGGCAGTCCCTCTAGAAGAATCCCTCAGAGTATCTCTGACAGGAGCCCACCCAGGCTCTCTAAGGGGAGAGGTCGCAGTCCCTCAGGGAGGAGCCAACCCAGTCCCTCGCAGTTCTTCAGGGAGCCCTCGAGAGAGAAGGGGACGTAATCCCTCCCCCAAGGGTCTGCTTGGTCTTTATGGGAGGAACCAACACAGTCCCCCTTTGCAGAGATGCCGCAGCCCCTCCATCTCAGTCCCATCTGGAGGACATGGGCCAGTCCTTCAGAACGGAGCCATGTACTCTCTCTGAGAGATCCCCTTCTTCCAGATGCTCTGGCAGGACAAGGCAAAGCTCTTCTGGAAGAGGCTACCGCAGTCCCTCTAGGTCCAGGCTCCACAGGCCTTCTTCCGGACTCCACCGCAGCCATTCTCAGAGAACTCACTACAGCCCCTCTGACAGCAGACGCGGTCATTCTGGGAGGAGCCGACACTTAGAGAGGAACCAGCAAGGTCACCATGCGAGACCCCATCACAGCCCCAAGGGGAGGCTCCGGCACAGTTCCCCTAAGGAGAGACCCAGACATAACTGGTCTAAAGAGTTCCTGCAAATCTTCACCTAGCTGCCCCTTCCTGCTCAGCCACTGCCTGCACCTTCAGCAATCAAAGAACTATCTGGGAGGGGAGTGAGAATGGGTTTGTAATTTAAGATCAATAAAGGGATAATAATTGAACTCTCTTTGCAGCTGTAAGATCACTTGTGGGATGGGTGGGACTGGATGTGCAAATGCCCGGAGCTGAAGGGTTGGGGTTCACAAGGACCCCTGAAATCTTCAGGCTTCGCCCACTTGCTCCAAGGAGTTTCTGATCCTCCTGCCTCCACCTCCCAAATGCTAAAATTATAGGCATGTGCTATAATGTCTGGCATATGTGGTGCCGGGGATCAAAGCTGGGCGTCATGCGTGCTAGGCAAGCCCCAGCCCTCTAAAATTAAAATGGTCTTAAAAATTATTTTAGTTATTTGTTTGTGTGTATGTATTATGTGTGTGTGGATGCAGGCATGCCTGTGTTATGCTGTGCCTGTGGAGTTGATTCTGTCCATCTACTGTGGGTCCTGGGGACTGAACGCTCATCAGTAGTAGGCTTATGCAGCAAGACCTTTTAACCACTGAGACATCTTGCCGGTCCTATATTGGTAGTTTTAAAAAATATTTATTTTATGTGTATGGGTATTTTGTCTGCATATATGTCTATGTTCCATGTGGTCTGTACATCACATGCATGCCTGGTGTTCCCCAAGGCTAGAAGAGGGCATTGGATCCCATGGACTGGAGTTACAGAAGACTGTAAGTTTCTAAGTGGGTCCTGGGAATTGAATCCTGGACCTCTGGGAGAGCAAGCAGTGCTCTTAACTGATGAGCCATCTCTCTAGCCCCTTAGTTTAAAAAAATAGGTCAAATGTGTGGCACAGGTTTTTAACCTAAGCACTGGGGAATCTGAGCAGATCACTGAGTTGGAGGTCAACTTGGTCTACACTGTGTGTCTCCACTGTGTGATGGGCAGATTTTGAAGGACATGGCTAACATCAGTAAGGTTAGGGAAGAGGCTTTTGTACGACTGAGGTGGGAGACGCTGGCGGTCTGGACTGGTGGTCGTATGGCCAGGCAGATATCAGACTGGGAATACGTGTGAAGACTAAGACCTGGGCTGGGATGTAGCCCAGCTGGTAGAGCACTCTAGTGTTCGCTAAGCTCTGGGTTCATCTCCACCACTGAATAAACTGGCAAGGCAGTGCAAGCCTGCAATCTCAGCACTGAGAGGAAGAGGCAGGAGGATCAGAACTGCAAGGTCACCCTTGGCTATATATGAAATTTGAGGCCAGCCTGGGCTACACAAGACTTTGCTTAAAAACAAAATCTGAAAGAAAAAAAAAACAAGACAAAAACAAAATTGGGGCTGGAAGGATGGTTTAGCAGTTAAGAGCATTTGTTGCTCTTGTAGAAGACCTGAGTTTGGTTCCCAGCACCTACAAGGTGGCTCACAACCACTTGTAACTCCAGTTTCAGGGGATCTGATACCCTCTTCTGACCTCCATACATGGGTACCTATGTAAGCAAAACAGTCATATACGTAAAAATAAAATATACCTTAAAAGGTAAAAAGTAGACAGACAGAGAGGTAGATAAGTAGATAGATAGACAGACAGACACACAGGCAGACGAGATAGAGTCCTGAGAACTTGCGGACAGCTTACATGGGGTAAAGGGAGGTGGGGTATATATGAAAAAGCTCAAGATGCTTCCCAGAAACAGCTGACATTACTAAGCCCTTACATCTAAGCCTTTTGCAGATTTTCTTGTTCTTCACCACCATTACCATTGCCACTCTCCTTTATAATACTATGTGGTAAATACTGTCATCAGTGCCCCCATTTTATATGAAGAAAACCAAATCCCAGGGTTGGAAAGGGTGAATGACCTTTCTAAGTTTATACAAGATGAAAAGTTGAACCAACATTTGAACTCAAGGAATTTGAGGTCGCAAATGTGTTCATTACCTCTGTGGCACACCCAGGAAAGACACAGAGGTATGTTAAAAAAGATTTGGGCAGGCTGCAGAGTTGGCTTAGTGGTTAAGAGTGTGTACTGCTCTTGCAGAGGACCTGAGTTCAATTCCCAGTATCTACATATGAAGGCTCATAACCGCCTGAAGCTCTAGCTCCAGGGGATCCTACACCTCTGGCCTCTGCAGGGACCATCATTCATGTGGACATACCCACACATGGCCCCTCACATAGACACATTGTGGCAGTGTGGATGGGACTGCCTCCCACTGGCTCAGATGTCTGAAGACTTGGTCCCCAGGAGGTGGAACTGTTTGGGAAGGATTGGGAAGTATGGCCTTGTTGGAGGAGGTTTGTCACTGCAGGTGAGGCTTTGCTGCTTCAAAAGTTTTCTGCCATCTCCAGTGCTGTTTGCTCGAATTCACAAAGATCTGTTTGTCTCTGCTTCCCGAGTGCTGGGATTAAAGGCCTGTACCACCACTGCCTGGCTTGGAATGGACTTTTGAAACCTCAAAATCTACCCCCAGATAAACACATCTCCTCCAACAAGGCCACACCTCCTAATTTTTTCCTAACAATTCCAGTAACTGGGGAGTAGTTACTCAAATATAGGAGCCTAGGGTAGCCATTCTTACTCAAACCTCCAGAGGTATGGACCCGGAGGGTCATTTTCCTGTTTCCTTCTAGCTGCTTTGCATAGTCTTTGTTCTTTTCTTCATTTATTAAGCTTCGTGGTTTGATAGATTATTGTACTCATGTGTAATTCTCTATTTCTGTTTTTTTATCTACTCTTCTAGAGGGGTTTGTACTTTCATGTACTGATGATGGTTATTTTTCTTTCACGTTTGAATCTAGGACTTTCTTAATCATGGTTTTTCAGGGTGGTCTGGTAGTCATAATTTCCCCCAGTTTTTGTTTATCTTGGAAGGTCTTTTTCTTTTTCATTCAGTTCTTAAAGTTAACCTTACTGAGTAATTATTTCTGGACTTGCTTTCTCTAGGACTGTGCGATTCTGGCAGAGAAATCTCATTAGTACAACAGTGTTGCCTTTAAATGTTACTTGGGCTTTTTATGATTAAAAAAAAAACTAATACTAAACTTCAGGCAGTTTGACTATTATATATCTTGGTGAGCATCTTTCATGGTCATGCATGCATATTTTAGATTTTATAATCCTCTTGCACACCAATGTCCATTTTTCCCTTTGAACTAAAAAAAAATAATCATTTCTTGTGAATTCTTTTCCCAGCATTTCATCCACTTTACTTTCCCTAGAATCCCTTGCCGAAGAGCTATGATCCTGATGGGTGTGCCACAAAAGCCTGCTGTTCCTACACAGCCTTCTTATAAGAATTTTTAAAAATTGAATCAATTTATTTGTGTGTTTTCCTGCATGTATGTAAGTGCATCACGTGTGACTAGTGCCAGGAGAGGTTAGAGGAGGGCGTCAGATACCCTGGAACTGGAGATGCACCACATGGCTGCTAGGATCAAAGCCCGGTCCTCTGCAAGTGTAGCCAGTGCTCTTAACTGTTGAGCCATCTTTCCGGCCCCAACTTTAAACATTTTTATTTTCTTAGTTGTGTGTAGGTGCACATGCCACAACATACATGTGGATGTCAGAGGACTTTTCAAGAATCACTTCTCTCCTTCCACCATGGGTTCCTGAGACCAACCTCAGGTCATCAGGCATGCCTAGCGGCAAGCACCTCCACCTGCTGAGCCATCCAGCTGGCCCTGGGAAGGCTGTGCAGGAAAGCAGGTTAAGATGTGTCTTAAGCCAGGTGGTGGGAGCACACGCCTTTAATCCCAGCACTTGGGAAGTAGAGGCAGAGGCAGGTGGATCTCAAAGAGGTGAGTTCGAGGCCAGCCTGGTGTACAGAACGAGTTCCAGAACACCAAAGCTACACAGAGAAACCCTGTCTCAAAAAAAAAAAACAAACAAACAAACAAAAAGATGTGTCTTGAGGTGTCTCAGTTTATTATACATTCTCTGAAAATAAAGAAGTTGGAGCTTTGGGGAAACCCAGATGTGTCTATGATTAGTAGGCTTGGACATAGTGGATTCTATGTCAAAGATGGAAAGACTCTGTTAGGTAGCACAGGAGTAGGGACACTAGCAGTCCATGCAGCTGCAGCATACCCAGCAAACTATGTGTAGAACAGTGTGCTATTCCTGCAATGGTAGTGGTAGTCTCTGCCATGATGGGGGCTTTCTCAGGTACTGCTGCCATTGGCCACTGCTTGTATATGTCTGTGGCACCAGTGACATTGGTAGATGAAGGGTCTGAAGCACTTGTCCTTTTACCAGACCATGATGGAGGGCAGAAAGCTTCCTGGTAGAGGGTAGGATGCTTCCTGGGAAGAAGTGGCAGAAAGCACTTAATTCCCTTTGGTGTGCCCACAGGCAGGCTTGTGAGTCATGTCTAGTAAAACAAGATGCAGGAGGTGGCAGAGATAGTGTTGTTTCTCTCTGCTGTTACTCTCTTTGCTGTTGCTATGGGTGTGCTCCTCCAGAAGCAGAACTTGGGCTCCCCAGTCATATGCACACAGGCAGGGAAAAACACCTGGTGGTTCCCCTGCACCCTCTTTTACCTGAAGTGCTCACCAGACGAGGACAAGTGAGTCGTGTTTAGAGTTAGTCAAAACTTCTCTCAGGGACTCCTTTAGCTGTACATGCCCAGGGCGCGCTCTCTCTCTCTCTCTCTCTCTCTCTCTCTCTCTCTCTCTCTCTCTCTCTCATTCAAGGCAAGGTTTCTCTGTATAGACCTGGAACTCATTCTGTAGACCAAGGTGGCCTCAAACTCACAGACATCCACCTGTCTCTGCCTCCCAAGTGCTGGGATTAAGGAAATTAAGGCATGTGTCACCACATCCCAACTTTCAGCTTCTGTAACCTTGAACTCCTTCAGCTGAAGTGCCCTGCTCGTGACAGCACAACTCTCCAGCTTCTTTCCAGGTATTTTGAGGTGGTGGGCTTCCAGGATGCGGTGACAGTCACAGTTCCACCTTATATACCCAGTAGTTACCTGTAGGTAACATTTGGGAGAGAGCAGCAAACTGTGGGTGACGGCTTTTGCACACAGCAGGCCATGCCTTTGGACTCAGGGCAAGCTTCTACAGCCTTGCAGTTTGAAATGTACTCCCTATTCTAAATATGGTAGCACTTGTCCCCAGCAGTATAGGACTGACAGCAAGTTTGAATCAATTTACTGGGTCACATTTGGCTCAAGAGGCAGCTGCCCAAAAAACCAGCACAAGGGAATGTCTATGTGGGTTCTAACTGGCAAAGCAGTCCAAATTTGAACAGCAGGTTCCTTCCCAAGATGGCGCCGTACTACAGTATACTCCCTGGTGATTGGTAGGGGGGTT